AAGCTATTGGTCATTCAAAATCATCCGATTGTAAAATTAACAGAATGTCGTAGGCAGCTTATCAATGGTCGAAATTTTAACAACAATGACAATATACCCTATTTGGTTTTAACATTGCAACATTTTTTGCCCTTCTTGAATAAAGTATATAAAAGATAAAAGTGTTAATTTTCCTTATTAAAAGGTAGATTATGAAACTTTAGTCTCCCCGCTGAGAATTATCAACTGTAACATCAAGAAAAGTGACATTGCAGTAAAGGCTAGATTCGCTTCGGTAGAGGATGAATATTCTAATAATTTTCCATTTTTTTACTCAGATGCTTCAAAAAAAGATGATAAGCTTGGGTATGGTATTCAGATTCCACAATTAAATCATAAATTTTCATGAAGATTACCAGACCACACGAGTATCTGTAAAGCAGAAATTATAGTCATCCATGATGCAGTAAGGAAGGCTATCCAAAAACATTTGAAAAATGCTATAATTTTCTCAGACTCGTTAACTGCCATTCAGAAGATAAATGGGAATCTTCATAATGCGGCAGCTGAGAAGAAATTTATTAACTCAGCTGGTGAAAATGGGTTTAATTTCAGATTAGGTTGGATTCCAGGTCATTCGGGTATCCATGAGATGAGAATGATGTGGTTGATGTTCTTGCTAACATTGATAGAATATTAAACGTTCCAAAACAAATGTCTCTGGATATAAAAGATGGCATATAATAGTATCAAACAAAAACTTTACACTCAATACAAATACGAGTGAAGAATCGCGGTAAAAAATAAAAATAATCAATACTACGAGGTACAGGCAGAATATAGTGGAAAAAAATGGTTTGCCACTGTTCCTTATAAAAACCGCATCATAATACGAATATGCACACCGGACACTGTTTAACCGGAGAGCACCGTCATAAGATAAATCTAAAAGACGATCCTTTATGTGACTGCGGTTGTGTAGAGGATCTCAATCACATCATATTTGAATGTCCCATCAATTTCATTCCAGGTTTTGATGTCTGTAAAGAATTTATTGATTTGGGATTCAGTACTCCCATGACAATTTATTCTATACTATCATCCATTAATGAAGCCGCTTTTAACACCATAATGCTTTTTCTTAATCATAATAGTGTCAACAAGCAAAGCTACTTAGAAAAATATGACACTGTATATGATTGACCGACTTATTGATTGGCGAGTCAGCGATAAACGAATATAAATATTGGACGGCGATACACGGATAGGCAGACTTGAACTAGCGTAATCACCTCTTTTGGGAAAGCTCCTCTGGCTGGGTGTCTTCAGTCTTCGTGTCGTCTAGTGCAATTACCTTTTTTAGGAAAGGCCCTCTGGACGGCCCATTACTTTAACGAATCGCACCTAACAAAATATAAAAAACATAACCAAGGAAGTACTTCAAATAAGCAAAGCCAGCAAAAACCAGCCACACTATTTGGAATCGATGTCCCAAGTGATTCTTCCAAGCCGTCAAGACCTGTTCTTCCAATAACAATTTTTGTTGAAAGTGGGCTTGCCTATGCAGACACAGGTCCCGCAAGGAACATTGCAGGCAAATGACTTTTCGAGATTTATAAAACCCATGTTGAGAAATCATCAGAAATAAAATATGAAACAGTTACAATTACATTAGCAGATGGAAGCATATCCACTCGGAAGGTACCTACTTTTTCTACAGATGTGAACATAGAAGACCATACAGTATTGACAAACTTCCTAGCTCTTAAGCCGACTTTATAAGAAATTCTGAGATTGTGCTAGACCTATCAAACCGATCTTGGCAATTTGGAGCGAATTCCCAAAATAAATATACATTTCCGGAGATTGTTGATGTTGCATCCTGTGACTAGTTCTCTGAGCACTAATGAAGGAACTATGTTAACGTTGGAGGAGCGGAATCAACTGAAGGAGATGTTACGAGCAAATTCACAAGTCTTTAAGTCCAGCGGTCAGGCTACGAAATTTGCCACATTACACATTAGAACCCAGCCTAATGCTATTCCAATTTCTTTACCACCCTATCAACTTAACAAAAACCAAACGAAAAATATTAAAGGTAGAAATTGATAAAATGCTTTCTAACGACATAATTGCAGAATGTGAGAGCCCATGGGCTGCCCTTGTTGTCATGGTTCCAAAACCCAATGGTAAAATCAGAGTGTGCATCGACTACCAAAAGCTCAATAGCATTACAATTAGCAACAAGTATCCAATGCCCCGAATAAATGACCTTTTACAAGGAACAAAATAGACGAAATACATGTCCACAATAGACTTACAGTGCGGATTTTGGCAAATAGGTGTCAGTAGAGGAAAAGGATCGGTATAAAACGGCATTTGTCACCCCCTTTGGTCTATTCAGGTTTAAAAGGATGCCGTTCGGTCTTAAAAACGCTCCGGCTGTATTCCAGAGGCTAATAGAGTGGTCTTGATGTCATGGTATTTGCATATTTGCTAGTGTTATCAGAAACATTCCAGGAACACTTAAACGACTTGCAAAAAGTATTTGACCGACTTCAAAAATTCAACCTACGAGCTAACAGAGAGAAATGTACCTTTGCCACTACAAACATTAAATATCTTGGTCATGTATTGATTTCTGAAGGTATTGTTGTAAACCTCGAGAAGATTTCAGCAATTTCTGATCTGTCAAGTCCAAGAAACATTAAAGAAGGATTTGGAATGAGCCACAAGAAAAATCATTTCGGACTTTGAAGCAGGCTTTAACCACCGCTCCAGACCTTAAGCAAGCTGATGAGAACTCACAACGAACGGCCAATTGAATATTCTAGTCGTCTCCTTAATTCTGCAGAGAAAAATTATACCACTACGCAGTGGCGTATCCAGCCTGAGGTTCTGGGGGGGGGCAAACCTGGTATGTCCGCCATAGGCGGAAATTTTTTTTGCCACGCCCAAAAATCTTCAAAACCACACAATCGAGTATTCGCTCGCTTCTCTCAATACTTTTGAAGGACAAAATATATAATATTTTCACAGAAAAATAAGGTACTGCTAGGGTTCCGTAATATTAGCCTGCCACCGAAAAAATCTTTGGGCTGCTCATTATAACGATAAGAGCTTGATAACTGGAATTATTTGTTTTTCTGAGAAATCGACTTTCAAGAAACAAGTAGGTGACATGTGTAACATAAAATCAAACTCAAATTTAATTCAAAACCGTTCAAAAGTCAAAGATATACAGGGTGCGGCACGAAAAACTTCCCACCCAGGTTTTCTCAGGTGTCAGGTGATAAATCAAAAATCGCTCGGACACATCACTTTTTGTTTTTGAGGGACTTTATTTATTGATATTTTCACCCCTTACCTGTGAACCCCTAAGCGGGGGTGACAGGTACCAGGTACCCCCCAAAAGTTCAAATGGAAAGGGGGGTCGAGTGATGCGTCATTTGTTAGCTATTTTTATTAAGATTATATCCCCAAAGTTTCAAATTGCTACTATCGACCCTGTGGAAATAGCTTGTCAAAGCTGTGTGTTTTTTACCTCATATTAACAAATTAACATATTTTTCAAGTGAATAAACATGAACCATTTTGAACTGAACTGTTGAATGACGATACTTAGATTAAATGCCAATGTTATTTTATTACTATGGATAGGTACCTTTCAAAAATCTGTTGTTTTGTTATTATGTGATAAAAATCACACAGTTCAGATACCTACTCGGAAAAAAGCATTTTTCCTAACTTTGACACACTGCCATTTCGGTAGAGAAAATAGTAGCAACTTAAAACTTAGAGGACATAATTCTTTCAAAAATAGCTACTAAATGACGTATCACTCGACCCCCTTTTGCATTTGAAATTTTGGAGGTAACTGTCTCCCCCGCTTGATTGATCACCTAACACCTGAGAAAACCTGGGTGGGAAATTTTTCGTGCCCCACCTGTATAATAAATACTTTAAATTACTAAAAAAATTCACACTGGAATAACTAAAATATAAATATTGGTATATACAGGGTGTTCCTTAATACTAAAAATCATGCATGTACAAACGGAAGGGGGCGATTCTTTGGTTTTTTCTTATGACTAAATAAAATTTCAAAGAAACATGGGTTTGCAAACGCTTCGTTACCGATCTACAGGGTGTTGAAATTGCAATATATTTTTTAGTTTTTTCTTTATAACTCCTGCGGCTTTCGAGGGATTAAAACCCCAAATTTGAAATATAGGTTACGCAATAGGAGCTAAATGATTGTACATTCCACAGAAAGATTGAATCATAAAGGTACCTTTTGCATTACCAGCTTTACCAGACAATTATTATTGCTTTTGAGAAAGATGGTTTTTGTGTTTTTGGTGGTGTCGCCTTTTGACAAAGTCTGAGCCCTGATGATTGATGATGACTCAAAGGCGAAAGCGCTAGACAGCTAGTAATATACATTACGCTGAATATAAAACTAGTATTTTGACTTTAATTCCCTGATGGTCAAGCACAGCGTACAACTGAACAGTTTCTATTTACAAAAAAGCTACCTGTTTATGTAGTTGAAAAAAGTAGGTATTATATATCAAATTAATTTCAGTACCTACATTTTTGAATTTATTTTTTTATTATTTGACAAATTTTTAAAAAATAAAAGGAATAAAAATATGTTGCTCTGGGGGGGGGGGGCTATTGCCCCCTTTGTCCCCCCCCTGGATACGCCAGTGCCACTACGAAACGAGAAGCATTGGCAGTAGTATGGGCAATCAAGCGTTTTCGAGGATACATAGATGGTGCTGAAGTGGTGGTCAAAAGCGATCATCAATCTTTAAAATGGCTTTTGAGCCTTAAATCCCCAATAGGACGTTTAGCGCGATGGGCGTTAGAACTTCAATCGTTCAATCTTAAAATTGACTACACTCCTTTTTTTTGCCACTCTGCCTAACTCCCCCCAAAATTTTGGTCTAGATACAGCCCTGAGTAAAGCCATACATGAAACAACAACAACAACAACAACAATAAAACACAAGAGGGATTCTTCTTAAGAATTTTTTGGTTTATTTTTTACATATTTCTTATGAAGCTGCCATTTATATTATAATTTAGTTCGTAGAATTTTTCAATATAGTACAAGAGTAAAAAACAATTAAAATAAAAAGTACAATTTTGGTTCAATGTATAAAAAAAAACTGACAATTTTTACAAAATTTGTAACATAATTATTGACACATTTGGGAAAAAAATACTAAAATAGGCACCGATTCTCTTTTTGCTGTTTCTCTACAATGACAACCTCTGTACAATACTGATAACGGAATGTCTATAAAACTTTTACCATTGCAAAGGACACTGTGTATATTTTGGTTTTTGGAAAAATTTTACTATTTTATACCACGATGTGCTTTGCAAACAATAAAAAAAATTAAACTTAAGATAATAAAAAATAATCTCAACAGTATAATAAATAATTTATCCTTAAAATATATCAGCTTGAAAATGAAATGAAATATGGGTTTTTAATTGTTGAACTACTTTAACCAGCCTTTCAAAATAGTTCAACAGCTAAAGGAAATGCATTAATAAATAAAAGAGAGAGAAAGAGAGGGGAAAACTGATATATTTAGCATAAGAAATAAAATTAATACTTTGTTTTCATGAAATGAGGTGATGTGAAAAATTCTTTTTTATACAAATGTTTGGTCATTTTGTATAGAAAAAAATAATACCTAACAATCTACTTTCTGTGGTCCCTTTGTTTGTAATACAGTAACAAGGCATGTGCGGCTCTAGAAAACTACTACCAGGGATAATTTTATATAAATAATAAATAAATAAATAATAACAGGACCAAATAAAGTAGAAATATGGGGCGGGTTCAAAAATTCTGTCAAAATATTCCTATACTAAAATTAATACATTATTTGCCTAATGGTGATTTTTGGACTAGAATAATAGGACACAAAGGTTTTGCGCTCCACTTGGTCGTTATGGATCGTTTTTGTTTTTTGTTTGTTCTTACTTTGCCAGATACTCGATCATTTTTCTGAAATTCGGCATATCTTCTGACATCAGTAGAGACTCGACACAACCTTTGAAGTACTCAGTTGTGAAGCATTGAGACCTAGAGAAACAGATAATAATAATTAGTTTTTTTTTTATAAGAAAAATGCTTCTTAGTGTTAAAACGAATGCATAAATAAGATGGGTTAGATATATAGGTAGGTGGTTTAGTTTTTGTACATTCACAAAGTTGGTTAGCTGCACAAATTGGACTGGCACAATAGCATAATAATTAGTTTTTGGACGCTTTACATAGGTACTAACAATCTGCTTTAATTTTTTTCTCAATATCGTTATGGGAAGGATTGATTGATGATTAAAAATTGCCTTGATTTCACGTATATTGGCAATTATATGCCACATTAATATTTTAGATCATTCACAAATTATCATTTCTTTAAATAAACAACTGATTAAACATTGAAAAGTTTTTGATCAGGCAAATTTATTTTTTTAAAGGGGAGCGATTAAATTATTGTTTATTAAGCCTTTTAAATAGTGTTAGTAGGTACCATGCAAAGTTTTGAATAAAGAAACAAAGCAGATTGTTTAGTTTGTTAACAAGTTAAACATTAGACAAAAATGAACGACGTTAGTACGTTAGACAAAGGACAGGCGGCGTTGTTGATTAAAAAATACCTCGTCGTCGGGAGGTGCCCCGTGTATTTGTTTGATCATCTCTTTGACCTGTTCCATTTCATCTGTGAGCTGTAACGTTTCTAGACAACCTTTGAAATAGCCTGTTGTGAAACAGTTTTTCCTGAAAGAAATAGTTATAACCAATAAGATAAAAGTATAAGGATGATGAATAATATCGATGAAAAAATCAATGGAGAGTGCGCCAATAAACAAATTTTCAGTAAGAATGATACCTAATTATTTTCCACAAATTAATCTTATAATAATAATACATATTGTGGAAAAATATATTCCATTAGTTTGCGAAATAGAATTTTTCAGATATCATTTAATTATGTATAGGCAACTTTTTTTCAATCTGACTATTATATAGACAGGAACAGGCTACTGCTATTAGACACAAGGGCTTCAATGGGACCAGATGACTGATACCCATTTTACTGCAGGATCATCAAGGTACGGCAAATCGTTTCTGCAAGTTATTAAAATTCGTGCATTTTCAGCAACTTGTCTCGATTTTCCTAAACCGAATACAAGCTAATTCGTCTTATTACGCCCTATATGTGTCTAAAGGTTGGTCCGGGCTGTATACACAACATAGTGAAATTAGCCTTGATAGCAAAATCGAAGTCAAAAATGTATTAAGATTTTTACGTTGTTGAAGTTAGGCACAGATTTCGAAATGAAAATTATGTTTTTACAGTGGATCAAGTCAATAGTCCCACAAATAAAATAAATTTAAAAAGCTATTCTAAAAGAGTCTGTAACATCGTCGAACTTGATAGAAATATTATTGGGAAGTGATCTACGTCACATATTGAACAATCACTAGTCCAAGTTGAAGGGGATATGAAATTAGATAGGTATCAAAAATTTTGTAGCACCACCAAAGTAAGTGGAAATATTGTCGCAGCAGATACGAGTGACATATCGAAAAAGCTGTAAGTCATGCAAATACCTCCAGAAATAAGGCTTTATTCGCATTACATTAACTTGACAAATAAAGAGTTACATGCTAAGTACTTTGGAGACTAACGGTGTCATCTGGGTCGGACTAATATGAATTCATCTTTCGATGTATCCAAGTGTGAATTTTCTTCCGGATCAACATTTTGATTATCAGGTGTTTGGTGCATCTTGTTTATCACAGTTACTTTCTTGTTCTGGTTCGTTACGGGATTGAAAGGGATTTTCACTACCATCATCGTCATCAAATTATACTTCCACGTGGTGCTAGATGTCTTAGATTGACAGATCTACCATCAGGAAAACGAACAAACGCATAATCTGTGTTTGCTTCCATCAAATATATCTCCTCCACAAAGGGGTCGTATTTACTTTTCCTTACATTCTTTTTTATCCAAAGAGGGCCAAAACTTGAGACCCAGGAAGGAATAGCTTTTCCGTTGCTAGATTTACAAGAATGCTTAAACATGAGTTATTTGGTTTATTGCAACACACAAAAGAGATTGGATAGAATGCAATGCATTGTTCTGATTTCAGGCCACGAGACCTCAGTTCAAGCAAAATTGTTTTCCATATTATACCATTAAATCTCTCTACTCGACCATTATCTTTCGGATTATATGCAGTCGTTCTGCTAGTGGCTATACCTTTTGAATGAAGAAAGTCATTCAGTTCTTTTTACATGGAAGAGCTTCCTCGATTAGATTGTATGTACGAGGGCAAATATTGAAAATAGATTTGTGAAACCATTGATCACAGACTCTGCAGTTATATCAGGGCAGGCGTAAGAAAAAGGGAATCTTGAGAATTCATCTACAAGGGTTAGTAGATAATGATTTGTTTAGGTTGTTGGAAGAAGACCTTTAAAATCAATGTTGAGCTTTTCAAAGGATTTGGCTAGTTTTATTAGTATTCCCTGATTTTTACTGAACGTCGGATTGAGCTCTGTACAATATACAGGATGTCCTAGGAAAAACAGTCCACCCTGAAAACCAAAAATGGTCGGACACGTCAAATTCAATATTGAGGGGGCATGTTATGACATACAGGGTGAGTTCGAAATAGGTGCGCATTTTGTTATAATAGAGTACAGTAGGACAATCACTTTCTGCATAGTCTGCAAACGTCTCGTTAAAAAAATACAGTGTTGAAATTTTCGAAAAATTTTTACCTTTTGTCTATAGATTCAAAATGCCTTGAGCGATTTTGTTCAAATTTTCAGAGAGTGTTTGCGATGTTCTCAAGCATCTTTATAAAAAATCCGTTTGAGTTCCACTTCTTTAGGACCAGACCTAGAGCGGGGCAAAAATGTCACTTTTTCTCCCATGGGAAAAAAGTAACAGGTACCAGTCAATTTTTTTCCCGACTGAAAAAAGTAACAGGTACCAGTCAAATTTTTTTCTCAAAGGGAATATTGTATAGATGGAAAATGTTGAGATTTTCCCGTCACAGAAAAAAATAGTGTATTATACATGGGAAGAAAGTAAGATTTTAGCGCTCGCTGTGTTGTCTACCTCCGCTTCGCGTCGGGAGACAAACCACACTTTGCGCTAAGTTCTAGTACTTTTTTCCCTTGTATAATAATTTTTCTTGTTCGATGCGACGTTTACGAGATAAAAAATAGAAATCAATGTATTGTTTGAAAAATGAAAATCTCGTGTTCGATACACTCCAATCTGTTAAAAAAATAAGAGTCGCTCTAGGTCTGGTCTTGGAAAAGTGAAACTCAAACAGATTTTTCAGAAAGATGCTTGAGAACATCGCACTCTCTGAAAATTGGAACAAAATCACTCAAGGCATTCTGAATCTAAGGGCAAAAAGTCAAATTTTTTCGAAAATTTCAACACTGTATTTTCTTATGCCGGTTTTCCACCAAACAGACAAAACAAAAACACAACCCAAACTCAAACTTTTCCCAAACATTTTCAAGACTAGCGTGTTTTGAGACAGTTGGAGTTTTGTTTCGCCGAGAAAACATAACGTAGTCCGCTTGATGGAAACAAGAGTTTTGTGTTTATTTCAGTTTTAAAACACAAACTCAACAGTCCGTTAAGTGGAAAATCGGCTTTAATGAGACGTTAGCGGGCACATGTACATATGCAAAGAGTGATTGGCCTACTGTACTCTATCTATCATATCAAAATGCGCACCTATTTCAGACTCACCCTGTATATCTGCGTTTCTCTCCATTCATCCCCCTACCCTCCAGATAAGCTACCTCATGAGTTTTTTTGAATAGGGGAAGAGTCGTTGAGTGATACCTTGATTAAAAGGTAATTTTATTCTCTACATAACTCTGTTTGTGTTTTTCATGTTTATCGATTCGTTCCTAAGAAATATGGTGTTTACAATTAATTAAATTGTTAAAAGTGTTATTCATTGACCTCCATACAGAAATACAATTGGTTTTTGGATGTACCCATAATAAAAAATCCAAAGGCGTAAGATCGGAAGATTTAGCAGGCCTGCAACAAACTAAATTACTTGCACGAGATGGTAACCTACTAGAAAATAAATTGATGTTTCAGCAAGTTATGGGGAATCTTACATTACGCTGCTCTCATTTGTCAGTTTTTGAATGAAGAATTTCCTAGATGCTGGATTGGCCGGAGAGTTACCGTAGGATGGCCTGCTAGTTCTCCCTATCGTTTTTCAATATTTAATCAAATAATTGTAAACTTTTTATTTTCTTGAACAAAATTAATATTCAAGACTATATCATCCATATTTCTTAAGAACGAACCGGTGAAAATAGAAAAACAAAAACAGGGTCATGTAGAGAATAAAATAACCTTTCAATTATTGTTTTCCCTGGGACACCCTGTATAAAACTTTATTCAGTCACTGAATATACATATACAACAAAAAGACGGTTGATAAAATAAAAAATAAATAACAAATAAAATGACTTTATCCTTCCCTGTTACGACGAGGTCTTCCTGGAATATTTTGCTCAGTATGTTGCAACAACTCTTTTCCTTTCATTCCGATTCTGCGCTATAGGAAGACATAGCAAGTTTTGTTGAATGTTAATAGGTTTCAGGTCGATATGGAGAACGTTTTAGCTGCCCTGCCTGTTTATGACAGCTCCCAGCTAGTTCGTCCTATAGGACACACGTTTACGTTACCAATAGCCCATCTTAGTCGAGATTGTGAAATTACATCAGAGATGCTTGTACATCTAGCCCTGCAAAATACCTCTACGTTTGATATTCTGTGAAACCATTTTATAATACGCAATATTTGCGGTGATAGATAGGTCGCGATTATCAATGACTCGGTTTCTCAGCCTCCAAAAAGCTGATATGGCATTACTAATACGATGTTGGACCTTCCCGTCAATATTTCCTTTGCTTTTGACGATGCTACCAAGATAATTGAAGTGTTCTACACTTTTTAAGATGTTATTCTCGATAAATATGTCAGTATTTTCTTGTTCGGGTGGCGTTGCCATTCTTCTTCTTCTTAAAGGGCCTATCCTCTGAGGATGTTGGCTATCACATTGGTCCATAAAACTTTATTTACCGAAATTCTATACAAAGTTGTTGACGTCATTCCGGTCCATGCTCTTAAATATTCCAGCCACGATATACGTCTGCGACCTACTGATCTTCGACTCTCTGTCTTTCCCTGTAGGACAAGCTGAAGTAGATTATATGGTCTCAACCCCTATACGATCCGTCCTGGGACGTCACAACAGGATCGTGACCTAGGGGCGTAGGTGGGGTTCAGGTAGAGAGAAACTCGCTTGGTATAGGTATAATAAGATATGTATTGAATAATAATAATATTACCCTAGAAATAGTATCATGACGTCTCCTCTACGGAGGGACGTACTACTTATAGGCCACTCTGTATTATGTACCCTCTGTACACTTGGCGTGACTGAAGACTAAAGCTGGGTTTAAGACAGGTCCAGAAGGGCGTTTCCCAATAAAGGTAGTTTGCACTGGACCTAGTCTGCTGCGTTCAATGCTCCCAGAAGAAGCTAGGTTTGAGACAGGTCCAGAAGGGCGTAATACTCCCAGAAAGGCGTTTCCCATCAACGGTAGTTTGCACTGGGAGGAGATTTAGCTAGAGGGGCTTTTCCCATTTGGGGTACCTACTTTGCGCTAGCCTTAGCCTGCCGGTAATGGATTTCGGCACGGTATTTAT